TCTTCCGATCTCCCCAAAACCCCAAAACCCCGTCTGCTACATTTAAAGGTAGAATTATTGATTATATTAAAATATGAACTAACTGTATATAATTATTCAATTATTCAATGCTATTAAAAAAAGGAAACTAGTAACAGAAACAAATAACAGAACAAGTAAAGGGAATATTCGTTCCCAAAGAAAAAAGAATCGAAGCTAGAAATGAAATAGCGAGAGCTCATTTTCAAATTGGTTAGGCTGATGAAAGTAAGCTTTAATATATTATAGCATCATTGAATTTTTATCAATTCTTAATTTTGTAGAATTTCCAGCCAAATCTTTTTCACATGATCATTTCGCTGATCTTGAAGTTAAGAACAATCAATATGAAGAAAATCAAAAAATTGCATAGTAAATCAAGCAAACACATTTTAACATTGGATAAGGGAAATAGTTTTTTAGGGAAACTATTAGTTCCTCGTCATATAATCAAATTCCTACAAAAAATTTACAAAATACGAAATTAAATTAGGAAGTTAAGAATGAATTGAGGAAAGCGCACTTTCATTTTGGGAATGATGCAGTTTAGTATGAAACAACAAACAAGCGAACTTTTGCTGCTAATGATTCTACTGCTGGGGGTACTGATAAAAAGACTTAGCTTGAAAGAATGCAAAAAATGAGGACTTAGCATTTCACATATGGAAAGGATGTTCCATAATACTAGTCTATGGCTAAGAAAGATTATCAGTAGCATGACACTATGGAAGCAAAGAAAAATTTGCTTATCTCAAAGTAAAATGGAAAGGAACTGAGAAAATCTCATTTTATGTTTGGAACTGATTAAGAAACTTATTCAACAAACTAGTAAGCTAAGTAAGTTTCCTAGATTAATGAGATGAGATAAGTACCGATACAAAACTCAGTAAATCTAAGAAAAAGTAACTTCTAAATAGAATAATCGGCTTAAGGAGGAGATTATTTTACTTATGAAACAGTGACTGGAACATAAATGGGAGCAGTTAGTGGAGGGAATTCCAATTACTAAGTTAAAAAAGCTTAAATGGATTAAATGAATGCTTTAAAATAAGATTTAAGATAGGCTCATTTTCATCTAGGGTCTAATAATGATTAAAATTAATATCTGTCCTCCTCGAAATAAGCTCTTGTCGATCACTAAATATCACAAAATACGAATAAAGAGGCAATGGAACTTAGTAAAAAAATGTAGCATGCAAATTTTAATATTGGAGATAATAAAAATAGAAATTTAAAAGAGGCCCAATCATAATATAAGTAAACAATTAGTGCATAAGCAACAACCAAAAACTAATAAAGTGCCACTGTTTAATTAGGACTTAGAAACTCTAATTTTCACTTTGGGAGTGAGAAGACTGTTAATTATACGTCTGAGACGAAAGATAAATTTATACCTTAAGAAAGCAAATCAAATAATAATTAAGATATATCAAAAAATCTGAAAGGGCATCATTTTACATTAGCTGAAACGACTAAATAGGGAGAATAATCAAAGAATTACTTTGCCACAGTGCATAAACAAGAATATAATTACAAAGGCGATCCTTCCTAGATAAGAGGTAAAATGGCTGATGAAGTAAAAGCTGATCTGAGAGCTTCACATTTCAAGGTCGGATTTGAATAAATCAGTCCATTCGGATAATTTTAATCTAGACCGATTTCAGCCTCTGTTTCAAGGCCAGGAGGTCAATTTTAATAGGCTAATGGTTAGAACTAGGGCAATCTTTCCATGAACTCTTCATAATAAATTCTAAGACCATATACATCAATCCCAGGTTCAAATTAATAATCGTAGCAAAAGAAAATCATGACTGCTGCTGAAATGAATGCTTCTTCTCATGTCTTTTCTTAGTCCAAGGATAAAATCGGTTCTGATTATAAGACAAGTAATTAATAGTTTTTTAAGTGGATTTAGCCCTCGATTTACTGAAATTTTCGATATTAGACCTTTTATATATTTTAAACCACTAAGTATTTTCATCTATATTGTAAGCGTGTTATCATCCTGGGGTTTTGGGGTTTTGGGGTTTTGGGGTTTTGGGG